GAGAGTTCCACTGGGATTAAAGACCATCCGTTTGATGCTCAGGACTTTGATTCTGCACAGTGTGTGCCGTATTCTGAACCTGCTCATGGTAACATTTATCTGACCACTTCAAAGACTGTGTTCACTGAGTTAGATGTCCAACATGAGACTCAGTTATGAGTTAAACAGCAACATCTTGCACATTTTAGTGTGAACTCACTTGGAATTGACATGAAAATCTTAGTGAGGAGTCGGGGATGTGAACTGTGAGCTCAGCTCTTCTGACTGCAGTTTAAATGTCAGACTGGTGGGTCAGGAAGAGACCAGCACTGCGACGATACAGCAAAACCCTTTGACCTGTATACCAGCAGCTGAAGAAGAGTGTGGCCTCACTAAAGTCAAGCATATGTGGTGTTCTGGACAAGCTGTAAGAAACAAACAACATTTTTACAGACACCTCTCTTCGCTCTTTGCCCTATATCCATCATTCATGGTGCAATACACAAAAAGTAGGCCAAGACAATCTTGTGGTGTATATTATTCATGTTTTAATACTCACAGGAGATATGCTCCAAAAATACTTGTTCTCACTGCAAAGGTCTTCAGTCAGACCACTGTCAACATTCATTTCTGTTCTTTGGCTTTTGGAGTCATTCACATGATCTTCATGAATGGGAAAGTTTAGCACAAGGGCTCGCTAAATTTCTACATTATGTAGTAAAGGCACAAACAAAGGATTTGTGCATATAAAATAACACCGGCAGCGCTGCAGACTGCATGCTTGGTCTCAACCGACATGTTCAAGGTGTTGCTGTGAAATATCAGAGAAGAGAATGGAAATGTCCACAAATAACTGCTGTACTGTTATGTGGCTTTTCTATAGGCCAAGCCAACTTGGTCCTCTTCACCTCTTTTGGACTTTCTGGGAAATATTCAGGAATTACCGATTCAGTAATACTGCTTCACATAGAGCCTATAAATGTTCAGTCGGAGAATGACTGAACATTTATAGTCCCACAAGTATTTTCTCTTTTTCTTATTGCCCCAGTTCAGAGGCTGAAGTAGAAACCTTTACTGCCTTTGTTCTAGAAATATTATCTTCTGTGTTGGGGGTCAAAGTAACTAGTCTAAATTCAAATGACCAAAGGTTTCTGGATTTCAAGTCTTACCATCAGTTGAAGCAAGGCCACCTGGTAAAATCCGTTTGACGTAGACTCCAAACTCCTCTCCTGTTAGCTCCTTCACTCCACCTATCACTTTAATTCCTGTAGAGAGAGAGATAGAAAAAGAGTACTTTAATGGGTTTTTGTTCTCCAGCCACTTTGTGCCTTGTAAAAAATGACTGTCATCTTAAGATGGAAGTGGAGTCACTGCCTGGAAACGATGCATCACAGGGAACACTCTGATTTCCAGGTTAATGACAGTCCTGCAAAAACCTGCTCAAGCACAACAGACAGAGGTTCGTGTCTCCTGGCACACTGTTGTCAGATTTCTTCCAACTATGACCTGGTTACATTTCTTACAGCTCAAAGGGGTTCATTTGACTGACAGGCTTCCCTCTGCATTACTGTCTTTACCCTTGAGGTGACTGCTCTTATGATTTGGCATTATATAAATAAAACTTAGTTGAATTTCTGAAACAAAACAAGCTGGTTGGACTGTGTGCATTTAGACTGTGTTTTCCTGTCTCTGAAACCTGTGCCACTGCAACCACTAAGCATAGAAGAAAGTCTTTATGACCAGATCAAGCTTTATGTAAAGCACTCTTACTTTAATGCACTTTCCCCCGTACACTAAATCACCACTCCACCACTATGTCACTGTTCCACACCATTTCCACAGTAAGAAGCAATTCAATTCCAACCAGAAGAAATGGCCCTGTGAGCTTGAGGGTCCTGCTCAGTATTTTACTGTTCCTAGGACAGTATCCTTCTGGACAGAGATCTCCAATGTTGTTCCTGGGATCTGCTGGAGCCACTTGCCCAGCTTGGGAGTCACTGCTCCAGTTACCACTGGAACCACTTTTAGCTTCACCTTCCACATTTTTCGAGTTCTTTTCTCAGCCGTTGGTACTTCTCCAGCTTCTTGTGTTCCTTCTTCCTGACATTGCTGGTATAGCTACTAGAGATGGACTGATCCGATATTACGTATCGGTATCGGCAGATATCCAAATTTATGATATCGGTATCGGACATAAAAAAGCGGTATTGTGCCATCTCTAATAGCTACATCTATTACTGCGGCCATCTCTGGTTGTCCACCACTACTATGTCTGGTCCGTTTGCCATCACCAGTTTGTCCATGTGTATCTAGAAGTCCCACAGGATCTTAGCTCAGTCATTCTTGACCGCCCTAGGGTGCATCTCCCATTTTGACCTTAAGACTTCCAGGCTATACTCGGCACTGAGGTATTCACTAAGCACGCGGTCAGTTATAGTCATCTTCCTGATGTACTCGTGGATGTTCGTTGTCTCATCTTGGACTGTGGTTCTGACATTCAGTAGTCCCCGGCCTCCTTTCTTCCACTTAGCGTCTCAGGATGCTGGACTTGGGGTGAAGCCCTCCATGCCCGATAAGGAGCTTTCTTGTCTTATTTTCAGTTGCTTCTATCTCCTCGTTTGGTCACCTTATTATCCCAGCAGGGTACCTGATCGCCAACAGGTTGTAGGTGTTGACAGCCTAGATCTTGTTCTGACCATTCAGCTGACTCCTCAGGACTTGCCTGACCCTCTGCAGGTACTTGGTGGTTGCAGCTTTCCTAGTCTTTCCCATTTGCCTGTGGGATCCCCAGGTACTTGTAGCTGTCCTCAGTGACATGTTGCCTTCTGGTAGCACGATCCCCTCAGTCCCCTCTGACTACCTTCCTTCTCTTGTTACCATCAGACTACACTTCTCCAGTCTAAGTGATGGATGGTGACTTGTGCTATTGGCTTGAAGTTGGCCTCTAGTGTTGTACACCACATCCCCATTGAGTTTCTGATGAAGGCTTTTAGGGTCCCGTTGATCTTATATAGTTCTAGGATCCATGTGTAGAGCATCGAGTCATAGGCCTTCTGGTAATCAGTCTCGGGTGACTGCTATGTCCAACAGAAGCCAGTGTTTCTCCTCTGGTATTCCTGCTCATGTGTCAAGCCACATGCCTCTTTATCTTAGCTGCTATGATGCCTGACAGGAGCTTCTATGTGGTACTGAGGCAGGTTATTGGCCTGTATTTGGATAGGACCGGTCCCTTCTGGGGATCCTTGGGGATCAGGACCTTCCGACCTTCAGTTAGCCATTCTGGGTGCGTTTCACCCATTAGCAGCCTCATTGAGTGCAGTCAGCTTCTTCAGCCAGTAGGCGTGAATCATACTGATCAGATCAGCTGATTAGTCTCAGTGATGGTTGCAGTAGGGATTGTCCATAGTGCTGCATTCAAGTGCTGCTTCTAGTAGACCTTCAGAGGGTAACTTATGTAATCTTTCTAACCGGCTACAGAGGATCCAGGTTTCCAGCTTCGGCATGATGCAAAGGAGAAAAACTCCAATGTGGATAGAAAACGAATAAAAATAATTGTAATAATCTTGGCACTACCAATTAAATGTAAATAATTTAAACAACAGTAACTATAACTGAATCAGTGGACAAAATGATTCCATGTTCATGTGTTTTATGCACACTTTACACACACAGCTTCTACAGCCCATCTGATTCCTGCACGTGGATCTTTCATCACTCCACAGAGAATATAGTAGAGTTAACGCTGAAATCAGGCCTTCTTTAGCTTAAGGCTTCCACTGGCCTGCTGGAGCCAACACAGAATGTTACAACTAATTGGGTCTGGAGTGAAGGGCTCAAGTTAATTATCGCCTGGTGGAACAGTGGGGTTTTAAAGTTCCTTGTCTCAGTCCTCCCATCCTTTTATACTCTTCTCTGAGGAAAACAGTTTCTTGTTCTTTTAAGCCTCAAAGCAGTCTCCTCCCCTCATCTATCATCAGATAAGAAAAACATGCAGCTGGAGCAAATATGAAAGACTTACATCCCTTGTTCTTATTCAGCTTTGCATTTACTTTCCGAATCATTACTTCCCATTCACAATGAGTCAAGGGCATATTTCTTACACAAGAACTGAATGTTCCAATACTTTCAGATCTAAATAAAATGTTATTCAGTGTGATTACAAAAGGTTCTTAAAATGGTTTCTTATTCCCCAGTTAACACAAGAACGTGAAATATAAAATGTCTGAGTAGTGAGAGTGATTTTTGAAAGCCGTCTTCTTTAAAGCACAAGCTGCAGATGCTGCCAACATGTCAACAAAATGAACTGTGACGGACACGATTTTCACTACAAACACCGCCCCCTGCCCACAGGCTGATGCTGCACTGCTTTCAGCTGCACTAACAGAGAGATTCAAAAGTGCTGTCCTCCATATGTGATTGTGTGCTACAGTGTGTACAGCAGCCCTTCCCCCTGCTGAAAGCTACATGTGTACACTAAGGAAGCCTTAAGACTTTAATATATGTATCAGAACACAGCGTGCACCTGCACGTGCTCAGGTTGGATGGGAATTAGTTGCTTTGCTTCTCGCCTGCGTGCACATATTGATACACAGGTTGGCTTTTACGCATCTTCATTCTTCAGACTTTTTGGCTTTCCAGTAAGTCAAAAAACCTTTATGACACTGACACATATGTATAAATACAATTACTTAAAATCACTGTTATGCCAAAAACTGGATAGAAAATAAAACCCTCACAGTGGCCAGTTCATGACCGATGGTTATGGCCTGGACTCCTCAAAGCCCGGACCTCAACATTATTGAAGCAGTGAGGGTCATCTTAAGAGAACATCCAAAGAAGAGCTTTGACTATCCATCAAGAAGCCTGGAGAAGTATTCCTGAGGAATACTTAAAGAAATGACAGAGTCAGAGACATGCTCAGTCTGTCAGCTGCCTCAGAGAGTTCAGGCAGTGAAGAAGAATAAAGGTGTTCACACCAAATATTCACTTTCAAATTCTCAGTAAATCAGTAAATCACTGGACCCATATTGCATAACATACATATACGCACTTTACAAAAGCATATAAAATACACACAAATTGTGTGCATTTCTTTTATTTGTCAAAATAAATGAGAAAACAGAGCTGCCCTATGTAC